CCTCCCTCCATCCTCCTCCCCCTCAGAGTTTCCTGCATAACAACCGTTCTGTTGATGGAGGCTGGCCCGTTACAGTGAGCGCCTTTCTTATTTATTAAGGTCGTGAAATCCCAGCCCTGTTTAGTATTATCTTTGATGTTCCAGGATGGTGTGGAAATTTCTCTGTTTTTCTGTGACCCAGTTTCCATGCTTTGAAAGTGGTGTCCCCTTCCCCCCTGGCCTCTCTGAAGTTGGGACTGTTGGTAGCATCTCCCCGCCTCCTTCCTGCCCTCCACCAGCCCCCTGCGTCTGTCTGACATCCAGGTGAGGGGGTAGCACGTGGAGCAGGCATCTTCTGCCCGGGAGGAGGCCTGGGCACAGTGCCAAGGTGCACCTGTGTGCTCACCTGGGCCACGAAGCCGCCGGCACCACCCTCTGGGGAGCTGAACGTGGTCCTGGGTTCTTCTTGGCTTGGTTTAGTCAACACAACCGTCGCAGACCGCAGGGAAGCACTCTGGGCCGCCTCTGGCCCTTTTGGGATGTCAGCCAGGCAGATGGGACTTGGGAGTCCACCGCCTCCCTCAGACACCCGTTCACTGAGGCCGTTGTGTACACGGAGCCCCTGGGTGGCCCAGACGGTAACGTGTTCGGCCATTCAAGGCCACGCAGGGGCTCCGTGGAAGGAGGGTCTGACAGTCAGCTTCGGAAGCGTCGACCATTGCAAACCCTAAAGGGCGGTTCACATGGGGTCGCCACAAGTCAGAACAGACTTGTCAGTAACTGGTCCCGTGAGGATTTTGGTGATAATTGCCTTTCCCTCCTCTGCCCCTCTGTCTTCTAAGGTTCTTTGCTGGTTATGGTACTCGTAGTTACCTGGTGATTGAGTTCTCACCGAAATTTGGCCTCTAATTTCTAACCTGGCCTGGGTGACCCCTGGGGATCTTTGGAATGTTTTTAGGGAGGTGGGACAGAGGGTTTTAAAAATCTACTTATTGGTTGCTCCATTAATTTATTTCATGTGTCCGGTGCTTGCGGAGTTAAACTAAGCATTTGGGGGATGAAACAATGCACAACACAGGGGTCTGTTCTCAGGACACACTGTCTGGGAGAAGGAGGCAGCGGCACATGTGGCTTTCAGACTGGGGTACTGGCTGTGTTCCGGGCTCCACGGCTGTCTTTCTGGGTGACGGGCAGAGGACAGGTCATCCCCGAAGCTCAGACTGCACCAAGAGCCCCCACCATGGGCCAGGCTCCAGGCCAGTGACTTGGCCTTCATAGTTTCACTCAGCTCTTCCAAAGCCCCAACATTTGACATTATTACTCCCAAATGACGTGGGAAAACAGGCTCAGAGAGGTTAATGGGAGTTGTTCTGGGAGCACAGCCAGAAAAGGTGGGTCTGCCTACTCCAAAGCCATCATGCTATATCCCCTTGCTACTTTATCACCTTCCACCTTGAAACTAGGTGCCCAGAATGGAGGTATTACAGGGTTGAGGTGATGGCAGTATTGAAAGAGGAAGTAGCTTTTCACCTCCAAAAATGCTACACTGAGGACAAGGATCGTCTCAGTTACTATACCACGAGGGGGTGGCTCTCGGGAACAGAAATGTACCGTCTCCAGCTTCTGGAGAGCAAAAGTCCAAATCAGCGCAAAGGCCCTTGGGAAGGTCCCTCCTTGTCTCTTTCAGCTTCTGGCAGCCCACGTGCTCCTTGGCTTGTGGGTTTGCACGTGGTGTGTACCCCTGTGTCTACACTGGTCTTTTTATAACACGGAAGTGATTATGGTTAGGACCCACCCTACTTCAGGATGACCTCATTGACATAAAGGGAAGCTCCTATTTCCATGCACAGGTACAGGGGTTAAGAGTTCACGACAACTATTATGGGAGGCACAGTCCAACTCATAACAAGGATGCTTCCATGGACTGAGCTCAGTATTCGTTACCAGAGATTGCTAATTGACAGGGCTGGATTTATGCCTTGTAATCGGGGAATGTGACCCAAGGGTTCTCAACCAGGGCCGTAAAAAGAAATGGGCCAAAGCCCCACCCTACACCCAGTGAATCAGATCTAAGGATGAAGCTAGAATCCACTGGAACCGGGGGCTGAAACAATGGTTACAGGCCAGCTGAAGAAGAAAAACAATGTCAAAAGGGTGAAGGCGTCAGACCCCTGGTGTTTTCATGAGCTGGTGTTGCTCTCTGGCTGATGTGACCCATGGCACTCGAGATGTTTTCTTGAAGGAGCTCTTTTGTGCAGGTAGACAGGGTTCCTGCCTGCTACAGTGGAGTCCATACTGTGTCTCTAATCGTGTAGCTTGGTGAACCACCCAACTTTTCAGTCCTCTTTCTGCTCCAACATACGTATAATTGGGTGCCCTCTAGCTAGGATGTCAGCGTATTCCCCCTTCTAAGCATCTAGATTCATTTACTTAGATTCTGTTGCATGTTCTAATGGTCCCAACCCTGGGAATTACTTTGTTAGATTTCTGTCACCATGAACATGGTCATCAACGGCGGCAGCACTTTAAAGTCTGGACTCACTTACACACTTGTCTGGTGTGCACCTCATGTCCACTGTGTAGGGTGCAGCTTCCCAGGGATGGAGAGGAAG